AAAAAAAAAAAAAAAAAAAGTTTTCCATAAGCACCAAGATTATTAAAATATGGTTTCTGAGGCAGTACCCGTAGCTTAGTGGGTAGGGCGCCAGCACATACATCAAGGCTGGCCAGGTTGAACCCGGCCTGAGGCAGCTAAAAAAATAATGGCAACTACAACCAAAAAATAGCAGGGCATTGTGGCAGGCACCTGTAGTCCCAGCTACTTGGGAAGCTGAGCCAAGAGAATGGCTTAAGCCCAGGACTTGGAGGTTGCTGTGAGCTATGATGCCATGGCACTCTACCCAGGGCAGCAGCTTGAGATTCTGTCTCAAAAAAAAAAAAAAAAAAAAAAAAAAAATATATATATATATATGTATGGTTTCTGCCCAAAGGGGCATATGACTATAAGCCATAGAAACAGAGCTGTAATGGGTCTAGGATGATTCCAGAAGAGATGGGGCTTCAGCTAGTCCAAAGAGAAAGAGACAAAACATACTAGCAAGGAAATCTGAAAAACTACATTAGGAGATATTTGTGTGTTCTGAGTAGTTAGGAGTCAAGGTTTCATGTACATTCTGTACATGGCCATATACGAAAAAGAATTGCCCCCACTTCTTAATATAGATTGGCCTAAAGCTATTGGAAAGTTTGTCTGTGACAAAATACAAGAAGTGTCTGGCAAATCAAACCACCCAGTATGAACACTACCACCTAACAAAAAGCTGTCCTCATTCTGGAGTTTAGTGACTAGTTTAGTGACATTATAATGGCTGACTCTTCTTCCTCCCACCTGGCAGCATTCCACAGTTTTCTTTTTAAACTTATAAAAATTTTTTGTAGATAAAAAAGAAGTATCAGGGTAGGAGCAAGATGGCAGCCAAGTAATATCTTCCTTGCAACTGGGCACAGTGAGTCTGGGGAGACAAGACTCCAGGCATCTCTGACTGGTGGGATCTGCCCAGAAACATCCCTTTTGGGACACAGGGAGTCAGCAAGAGACTTCTGAACCCCATGAGGAGGATAAAAGCAGTGGGGAACTCGCAAGTGCTTGTGTGTGTGTGTTCGGTCTAATCTCGCTGGCAGCTGTAAGTACAGCAACAGTGAGACTGCAAACTGGAAAGGCCTTACCTGTGAGCTGTTTTGGGTTTTTTGGACTTGGCACTCAGTTGAACTACCTTGGGAGAACTTGGGCGAAAGTGTGAAGGACTTTAAGCCTTGTCTAGGGCCCCAGACTGAGCTGCTGAGTCAGACAGAGCTAATAATGTTTGGCTGTGGGCTGCATGGAGCCATTGTGGGAGAACTGCCCTGGCAAGCTGTGCCCTCAGGGTCCCAGAGCAAGGACTGGGCGGAGCGAGTAATCTAGTGACTGAGCAGCCTAAAGGCAGGGACTGAGACGCCTTACAGACTTGACCCTCAGGGGCATAGAGTGAGATCGGTTTTGGCACACTGGGAATCATTGGAACCCTAGTCCAGAGACATGATAACTAAAAGAGTAAGAGGAAGTGAAAGAAAATTAGGGCAAGGAAACAGATAAAAGAAATCACTCATGAGAAAGAATCAGCAGAAAAATCCTGGCAACATGAAAAACCAGTCCAGAGCAACCCCCCTCCCAAGGGATTGTGAGGTAGCTACTGCAGAGGATTCCACCTATAAATAAGGTGACCGGATGTCCCACTTTTTGGCGGGACAGTTCCAATTTTTAACAATTTGTCCTGGATCCCCCGGCATTTTTAAAAAGTCCCAATTTTTGGAAAGAATGCACAACAATCTAGGGAAGGGTGGGACAACGAGG